TGCGATTGTGGCTAGCACTAACACCGCCAGCTGGGTCAATTTGGAACACAGACTTATCCTGACTTACGGCACTTTGACGCCAGATGGGATTAATGTTATGTCTCTGTTCACAGCTTGACCCTAGCTCCGCCCCTCCACGTTCTGACCTATCACAGTGAACATTTTTCTCCCCCCTTTTTTTCCCCGCTGCTTATTTAAACTCTCACTCACTTTCCTTCTGCCACACTTCTATTGCTGCCCACAGATACTACTTACCAGCTAAGTGCTATTTCTTATTTTTATAACGTTTTTTCTGTTGTTTTGTTCGCTGACGAAGGCTTTCTGCCGACACGTTCACTGTTTTGTTGCGTTTATTTTTTCAGGTTTAACCCTACTCTGTTTTACTCATTTTATTTTGTACTAACCTGATTGCAGTCTCTCCCCTTATTACCCCCCTAGTTTATTTAATCATATTTGTGAAAACACAATCTTAAACATTCCATTTTGAATACTAATTCATTAATTCTATTTTTTTTTTTAAACTGAGGATTATATTGCTAGGTTGTACATTTTATTCATATGTTATCAATTGTTCACTTCCATTAAAAATTTCACTGATATTCTTATTTTAAAAAAAAAAAGGATAACAATTATAGAAAATTTATCTGTCTCTCTTTTGCAAGCCTCACCTGGTCCATGTACATACTTGAGTAAACACAGCACACAATCTACTGTCGCATTAGCAAACACACTAACATTGTCCATTCCCAGGTAGACGTTGAACACATCCATGACGGCAGCAACATGCCTCTGACGTGCTTCGTTCACAGCTTCGCTGGTGGTATACTCAATCTTTACAGACCGAAGAGCTCCAAACAATGGCCGCCACCCTGACTGCAACTGAGAACTGCAGGCCTCTACCAACTCACAAATACAACAGACGATCTGTGAATAAGTAAATAGAAAATAATTTCTTACAGGTTTGAATAAATCAGCCTATTTAAAAATGTAAAGTTATCCTTAAAATTGATGTGAACTTACAGACAAGCGACTCACCTGATCTTGGACATCTCCATCACACAGCTCAAGACACAGCATATCCTCAAATGTCTTACACACAAATTCATTGACATGAAAGTGAGGCTTCTCTTCCCGCTGACTCACAAGGGAGACAATGAATTCGTGGATTGAGGTCACTGCCATCTTGGATATCACATGATCTGGATTTCCAGTGGCCTAATTAAGAGAATATAATTAATATTCATAGTAACAATATAATGCAATGAATCTAGATGGTTTTCACTGTATCATTTTTCTGTATAATTTATCCCAGGTTTAAAATGATTTTAGTTCATTGAATATGCAAACGTGTATTTGGATCCATTACAATAGTACTAGGTGTTTTATTTTCTATTAGAGGAAAAGTTACATGTTTAAAATTTACTATCACCTATTTTTTTTATTCTGTTTACACTGTAATACATTTTTCTAAACAATTGTAGGATTTAGTAAAGTAGAGTACCTGCACCAAGTAAGGGGAGACAACACTCCACACCCGCAATAAATGCAGGAGTGGCCTTGTGCCATTGACTATGCGCACCAAAACCTGCTGCAGACGGTACAAATTGAGTGCATTGGTTGGTGGCAAAGAGGCGGCACCCCCCACTCTCTCCCCTGATCCACCCAGTCGCTGAAGCTGAGCCACCATTGCCTCACCGAGTTCTTCAAGGAAACGGAGCAAAGCTTCAAGACAAAGCTTGTCTGCAGCATCTTCAAAAAGGCTGGTGACAAAAAAATTATAGAATTTATAACAGAACATTCAAAAAAAGTTTAGTAACTTGTACAGAATACAAAAAATTGATAAATCTGATTTGTTGAATGTATTTAAAGCCTTCGTCAGCGAACAAAACAACAGAAAAAACGGTATAAAATAAAAAATATCACTTAGCTTGGACGTAGTATCCGTGGGCAGCAAAAGAAATGTTGAAAGTGATATCTCTTATTTTTTATTTATACCTGTCAACTTCTTGAGACAGCCCACACAAGGCTTTAGATGCCTGAGCAAATGTTAACACCCCTCCTGCAGCCAATGAGTTGTCCCAGCCAGACTCTAATCCACTTTGTTGTATAAGGGCAGGTACATTTATTCTAGGGGCCACAGGTACAGCTGAAGTGGCATGGCTTCCATAAAGATCTGTGTCACAGTTCCTGTGTGACAAATAATGCTTGAAAATATTTTATCTAAGAATAGACTTGGTCAAATTGACAATAATGTCTCGGTTTTCTTCATCTTTAAAAACTATGAATTAGTTCAATGGAAATACATAAAACACAGGGGCAGCAAAAAGCAGTTAGTGGCCGAAGTGGATTCTGATAGAAGTTTGGACAACAATCAACAAACCTACCCATCTGCCTCTGCCCCATCTTTAGCCTGACCTAAAGCCCCTTGGGTCAGTTTAGGCAAACTGGACTGGTTATTGCCCTGGCTGAAGTAGGTGTGCTCAAGTTCTGAGATATGGGCACAGCACCTGCAAAAAGAAATAAGAATATCTCTTACTTGTCAATGCTTCATTTCCTGCACTATCTTAGTGTTAGTAAGATGAACTAAGCTATCCTAAAAAATTTTTAGTTGGAATTTTGCAACTTGTGCATTAATATTATTTTGCTCCTTTTCTGTGTTCATTTTGCTAATTAGGAATTTAAGTTTTTTTATACAGCAATAGAAAATTCATTACACAAAGCTAGTTACCTAAAAACATGCCTCCAGCAGTCAGCAGAGTGACTTCCCATCTCTAAACCAGTCGTCATAACAACATCCATACTCAAAACATGGGCTGCATGTAGCCTGACAAGCTTTGGTTTGTTACTGCTGAGGACTGATGCCTTGCTCTGAGTTTTACTTTCAGCTACAGCCAGTGCTCTGAAATCCTCCTTGACACAGGATGTTCTGGCAAGCTGAGAGAATGCACTGCCACACAGCTGTTGGAGTCCTGCGAAACATCAGTTTTATCATAAATAAATCATGTTGTGGAAAACATTTTTCTATTCAATTTTTAAAAATTGGTTATTAAGATACATTTTAAGCGTGAGTCATATTAAAAATTCTTTACTCTTCTTTGTTCTTTACTTTTATTTATTTTTACCCCTTATTTCTCAAGCATATTATTAATGTTACATTTAAATATTAAATCATTTTTTTTCCAACTAAGCCATAAGGAAGGACTTAAATTATTTTTGCTGTAAACATCTTCACAATTTATTTCTGACCATTCTTACATTCTAGGAAGTTACCTAAAACACAGCACAACTTGGCTGCTCTCTGCAACCCATTCAAACTGGTGCATATGGCACTCCTTGCTTTACGGACATCTTCTTGAGCACTGTCGGTGGCCAGGAGCAATGCCAGACTGTAACGTGTCATGGAGCCCCCTCCACTCACTGGCACCTGCTCATTCAACATGACAGACAGAATGTCCAGAACTTCAGCCCAGCAGGCAGACAAGACACCGGCAGCTAAGCGCTTCCCTGTACAAGACATTGGGAAAATAGTGTTGGTAAATGTCAAATAAAGTGTTCTAAACATGAATGTGTTCACTGAAAGGAATTCAATGCTGACTTTGTCACAGATCAAATATAATCATACACTGATGTATTCATTTCGTGTGTGGCAAGAAAGACAGTGGAAACCAAGCACCTAATCTATCACTGTTTAATTACGGTACAAATATATGACAAGATGTTTTAAAATAACCACATACACTAGTGTTAATGTTTATTCCCTTCCATAACACACATATAAAACTAAATCAATGTTTCAATATAAAACATTGTACGGTCATTTTATAGCAATATCAATTTCTGAGCTAATTGAAAATAAGAATTTTAGAGATCCTAGCAATAAGTCAATAGAGTTGCAGCAGAGCAAGGCACCATTTATGTCCAAGTGCATTTAGTTGTTATCTATCAGCTTTCCTTGACTCACCAGCTTCTCCCTTCTTCAACCTCATGACACTGTCCCCGTCTGAGACATCAAATTCCTCTCTGTAATCAGACAAGAGTCGCCCTCGTTCTTCTGTGGTACCAACACCTTCCAAGTCTGTGGACAGGGGAGAGGAAGATCAAATACAAATGCAGACCTGCCAACCTGCCAAGAAAAAAAATCTGTAGGGGGCGGTGCATGTGGGGGGCGCTTCCCCCCGGAGCGCCCCCCCCCCCAGGGCGCGCTGACCGGGGGGCGCATTGGTTTAAGATCTGTAAACTAATGCACAACCCTTTTATTTAGCAATTAATTCCGAGAAATGATCAAAAACAAATGCAGAACTGCCAACCTGCCAAGAAAAAAAATCTGTAGGGGGCGGTGCATGGGGGGGGCGCTTCCCCCCAGAGCGCCCCCCCCCCCCAGGGCGCGCTGACCGGGGGGCGCATTGGTTTAAGATCTGTAAACTAATGCACAAGCCTTTTATTTAGCAATTAATTCCGAGAAAATCGGAAAGGTTGGCAGGTCTGCAAATGAAATAAACTAAGGAAAGAAAACAGAATTTTACTTTTTTACTAATGACATACTTTTTCTTTCAAAATGATAAAATGCAAACAGCTCATTTAGTAAAGAAAGAAATATCAATAGATACTAGACGCAATTTACTATTCAAGAATATATTTTTAAGTAATCAATAAGCAACTTTAAAACAAAAATAATTAAAGATTTACTTGACACATCTTGATTAAAACATGCGCATATAATTATTATGATTTAATAGATCTATTTAAAGAGAACACAGTTCATGGCCAAATAACTTCGCTGCTGCCTATATTGTTCTCTGGAAGCAAATATTATTAATAATTGCCGCATTAGCTTAGCTAGATGCCAAATATGTTTGTTAAGCATTGATTAGATCCTGTATTTGGCCAGGAGAGAATTAGCAGGGTTGACAGTGAACACTTACGCTGAGGCCAAGACAAACCTTGTAACATATTTATCAAAGCACTTGAGCTGACTCTCGCAGTCGATGGAGAGGATGAGAGGTTCAGATCCAGCATGCTTGTCGTTAGCACTTGAGAGTAGACTTCCTTGAGCCAGGCCGGGGGTAGGTACAGCAGCAAACCAGAACTAAATATCTCATTGGTGAAGTCATTCTGGTCAAGACAGGAGTTGTATAGCCATCAGTGCAAGCATTTTTAATTTTGTTTATCAGCACAAACATTTTAGTACAGACATCAGTGTAAGCATTTTAAGCACAGTCATCAGCGTAAGCATTTTAAGCACAATCATCAGTGTAAGCATTTTAAGCACAGTCATTAGCACAAGCATTTTTAGCAAAGAGGATTTCTCTAAGACATATTTACCAAATATTGAGCTTTTTACTTCCAATTATCCCCCCCCCCCCCAAAAAAAAATTATTCATTTTTTGCAAAGAGGATTTCTCTAAGACATATTTACCAAATATTGAGCTTTTTTCTTCCAATTATCCCCCCCCCCCCAAAAAAAAATTATGAATCTATGACATACCAAACCAACATAATCTATGACATACCTAACAAACAGAATCTATGACATACAAACCAACAGAATCTATGACATACCAAACCAACAGAATCTATGACATACCAAACCAACAGAATCTATGACATACCAAACCAACAGAATCTATCACATACCAAACCAACAGAATCTATGACATACCAAACCAGCAGAATCTATGACATACCTAACCAGCAGAATCTATGACATACCAAACCAAAAGAATCTATGACATACCTAATCAACAGAATCTATGACATACCAAACCAACAGAATCTATGACATACCAAACCAACAGAATCTATGACATACCTAACCAGCAGAATCTATGACATACCAAACCAACAGAATCTATGACATACCAACCAGCAGAAACTATGACATAACTAACCAACAGACTCTATGACATACCTAATCAACAGAATCTATGACATACCAAACCAAAAGAATCTATGACATACAAACCAGCAGAAACTATGACATAACTAACCAACAGAATCTATGACATACCAAACCAAAAGAATCTATGACATACCAAACCAACAGAATCTATGACATACCAAACCAACAGAATCTATGACATATCAAACCAACAGAATCTATGACATACCTAACCAGCAGAATCTATGACATACCAAACCAAAAGAATCTATGACATACAAACCAGCAGAAACTATGACATAACTAACCAACAGAATCTTTGACATACCTAATCAACAGAATCTATGATATACCTAACCAACAGAATCTATGCCATACCTAACCTGCAGAATCTATGACATACCAAACCAACAGAATCTATGACATATCTAACTAACATAATCTATGACATACCAAACCAGCAGAATCTATGACATACGAAACCAACATAATCAATGACATATCTAACCAACAGAGTCCATGAGATACCTAACCAACAGAATCTATGAAATACCTATCCAACAGAATCTATGACATACCTTACCAACAGAATCTATGACTTATCTAACCAACATAATCATGACATACCTAACCAGCAACATGACTGTTAAGTTAAATAGGTTATAAAAATATACATCAAATAGTAGTTGGTGACTCACTTCAGTCAACTTAAGGTTTCGTATGTTTCTATAGTATCCTGTCTTGATAAGTTTGAGGTTAAATTTCAGAGCCACAATGGCTGCAACATATACACCATCAGAGTTGAGAACAACGGCGGTAGACGAGCCATCGTGCTGGTGGCCCAAATGACTTGGTGGAATACCTGGTAAGAAATTTTGGTTAAACTTATTTACATCAGAAAATTATTATCAAATGATTAAGCAGCGTCAGCCTCTTTAAAATATTAATTGGCTAATCTGCCTAAGAGAAAATGTACTTCAAATTAGTTAGAAATCTAGATGGGTTTTATTCGAATCTTGGGTCTTTTTATATTTGATCAACTTTCTACCATTTTGGGTAAGTGCAAGACTATAAACATGCTATCATGTCAGCCACCCCTCTTATGCAAATGATAAGCACTTCTATGGCACTATTCTTGCAAAGTCACTGGAGAAACTGACTTATCTTTTCCAATAAGGAAAAGCTTTTCATGGTGACTAGCAGAGCCTACTTGCCAGTTCTACGCTAAAGGCTCAAACCTTTGTAAATCTGAGGAGCGCTAGAATCTGTTTCTTTAAACATCTATAATAATTATAGCGGATTAACCGTACATACTTACTGTAACCCAACAGTTGTTTGGTAACTGTGATTAATTATGAAATTATATAAAGTCAATCAAAGTCAATAGATTACCTTTTATTGTTTATTAAAGTAGGCATTTCAACAACAAAAAATACACAATAAACGGATTTAAATTTTTCCCAGGATTACATACTGTTACAGAATTGGGCAGCCATGTCTTGTAAGGTCTCATCAACTTGAGACACACTCATGGCATTCTTTAGCACAGGCATCATTTGACGGAGGTAGGTGACAAACTGACGTGCATTTTCCCTCTCTTCCGCTTCAAACTGGGCCCTGGAAGGGGATTTTGGGGTTAGTTTTGGCTTGGCTGGAGCTGGGTCAGTTATTTGGTCAGCTGGCTGGTCATCTGGTGGGATTTCATTGGCTGCTGGTGAATCTTCTGGTACTGTGATGGGATCTGAAATAGATAGACCTGTAAATATTATGATAGTTAAAAAAAAATACAGTTTTTTTTATATTTATGGAAATAATTATTTGAAATTTCAATTTTCTTCTTCAGATCTCTATTTTTCTTTTATTCTTTTGTGCTGGGATGGGCTCCAATCCAACAAAAAGCGTACCTTCAGACTCATCATACTGCTCACACGTGATGTCACTTCCCCCATCATCATCAGGGTTAGAGGTCATACTCCTCCTTGTACGACCTTTCATGCCTGAAAAATTTGAAATTATTTTTTATTCATTCATCTGAACTATGATACGCAAAATTCCAGAATCCAAGTTTTAAATGACAGAAAAATTGTATAACGACAAACATGTTTTTTTCCCCCCCCAGTAGCAGTGGTTAAGCAATTTTACCTCTTTTGATTTGAAACAATATTTTTCTCTTCAACCTCTCTGTTATAATAAAATGTATAAAGAACAAAAAAAATGTTGGGCTCTCTTCCCTTGTTGTTCCTACAAGCTACAAAAACATTCACCTTTTGTAGGTTTAATCATTGAGTCTGGAATAGCCTCCCCTTGTCGTATTCTGTCCAGGGAGGCCAGCAAGCCATCAATGCAGTCAATACTTGTGTACACAATGGATGGCTCACTGTAATGGCTGCTCTGATGCACAGCGTCAATCAACCTGTAACCAAAAAAGGCATTTTCAAATGGCAGGGCAGACATTTAAATGTTTCAATACTAGTTACAAAACATTTTTTTTCTGAACTATATTTTTTTAAGAGGTACCCTTCATCTCTTTAGTGTTATCTAGAAAAATTTGTCGATAGTTATGGTTATCCATTGTTTTTTTTTTAATATAAAGTGGATTTTAAAAAAAAAAAAAGAAATTATGCAAACAATTGTTTAACCCAAATGAACAGAACACCATGATCAAATAAGCACACACTTAGTTAATTCTGAAATGTGTCCCTGAAGTCTGATGTCAACACTGGCTATAGTCCACTCTATAATTTCAAGGATCCTTGTGGCAGTGTTAACAACTTTTTTTTTTTAATATAAAGTGGATTTTAAAAGAAAAAAAAAGAAATTATGCAAACAATTGTTTAACCCAAATGAACAGAACACCATGATCAAATAAGCACACACTTAGTTGATTCTGAAATGTGTCCCTGAAGTCTGATGTCAACACTGGCTATAGTCCACTCTATAATTTCAAGGATCCTTGTGGCAGTGTTAACAACAGTCTAATGACTGCCGTTGATAGAATGTTCATCACACTTCAGACTGTAAGGTAGTTGGATTAAATTGTATGGTATATGGATGCAGCAATTTGTGGGGATGGATGCAACTAGATACAGGGATGGAGTGGGGCGCATCTTAGATATTTGAGTAACTCACATTTTCAACAGAGCCATATTTGTATCCAAGCTGTTGTCCTTAGCAGGAGCTGTAGCGGTGCCAATGAGGGACACCACTTTTTTGGGGTCTGACATAAGCTGAAAAAAGCAATATAAATTAAGGTCAGAGAAACCCAAGCTGAACATTTTTACACTGTATTTTTTTCTATCCTGGCTTAATGAATAATTGCCATCAAAACGACACAGCACGCTTTTTAATCCAAGTGTAAGTAAAAGATACAATAAAAACACATCATCCCTCAGTATCGGTCATGCAAGGATTTATTTTGAATGCAAAAATATTGTTTATTTCTTATGAATAAAAACTGGTGGGGGATCCCCCATTTTTAAACAAAATTTTATTATTTTCATGCCCTGAAATAGGAGCCATTAACATTTTGTTTTCAACAAAGATATGTCAATTACCTCTTTAAGAATACGTCAATTACCTCTTTAAGAATACGTCAATTACCTCTTTAAGAATACGTCAATTACCTCTTTAAGAATACGTCAATTACCTCTTTAAGAATACGTCAATTACCTCTTTAAGAATACGTCAATTACCTCTTTAAGAATACGTCAATTACCTCTTTAAGAATATGTCATTACCTCTTTAAGAATACGTCAATTACCTCTTTAAGAATATGTCAATTACCTCTTTAAGAATACGAGTTAATGGAGAAATTCTTATGCAGTTAATGGAGAAATTCTATACATCAATTACCTCTTTAAGAATACGTCAATTACCTCTTTAAGAATACGTCAATTACCTCTTTAAGAATACGTCAATTACCTCTTTAAGACTACGTCAATTACCTCTTTAAGAATACATCAATTACCTCTTTAAGAATACGTCAATTACCTCTTTAAGAATACATCAATTACCTCTTTAAGAATACGTCAATTACCTCTTTAAGAATACGTCAATTACCTCTTTAAGAATACGTCAATTACCTCTTTAAGAATATGTCATTACCTCTTTAAGAATACGTCAATTACCTCTTTAAGAATATGTCAATTACCTCTTTAAGAATACGTCAATTACCTCTTTAAGAATACGTCAATTACCTCTTTAAGACTACGTCAATTACCTCTTTAAGAATACATCAATTACCTCTTTAAGAATACGTCAATTACCTCTTTAAGAATACATCAATTACCTCTTTAAGAATACGTCAATTACCTCTTTAAGAATACGTAAGGCATCATGTCTGCTCTGGGGTAGGGGAAACATTAATATTTTATGAAACAAGGCTTCCAGCACCGGCCGCAGTTGTGGGATGCCTCCCACTAAACAAGCCAACTCCCCTGCAATGCTAACATGGAACAGAGAAGTGAAACAAAAAAAATTTAATTTAATTAATAAAACACAATGTCAAGTTAGCTGTTAAGGCTTCTGGCAAAATATTCTTTGTTTTGTTCAGGCTAAGTTAAATAAAGCTTCAAGCCACCGGTTTACACTGACCGCTTGTGCATTTTAATTATCTGACACCACTTTACACTAGCCGCTTGTGCATTTTAATTATCTGACATGAAAAGAAATTTTCAACATAGGCTATAAAGAGATTGTAACTAGTCTAAGACCATCTGATACTAACCTATATATAACTTTAGCGGAGGCTTGTGTTAAGTTGGGAGAAGCACTTGAAGAGCCAGTCAGCTTGGCCACCTCAGGTCGGACAGATTTTTGACCTGTTGTTTTTTCTGCTTTAGGTTCCCCGAGTAGACTGATCAGGCAAGGGCACAACCTCTTCCTAAGGTTATCATTTCATGTTAATTAAGAGTATTTAATGGAGCCAGTTTGGAGAGTGCTGTTAAAACCAGAGGTGAAATAACTCATTTCCCTACAGCCAATAAGACAAATCTAAGGTAAAGGATGTCTATTAAAACCACTAAAACATCAAACCTTTACTCAGAGAAGTAGGACAATTTAAAACATTAATTTATTTTCATAAAACATTGAAGATGAGCAGGCTTGTTGACTCTTTGTTGGTATTAATATGATCGGTTTTCCTAGTTACAAATGAACCTGGTTTTTTTTCCCCCTTCTCTTTTTTAATATTTAAGTTCATCTAAACAGATGTTTTCTCTTACCACAAGAGCTCTTGGAAGTCATTATTGAGCTTGATTGAGGGTGGTACTTTGGACAAAACTATGTTAACACCTTCAAGCAGCAGTGGCAAGGTTTGTTTACCTTGGGAAGTGCTGGAAGGGCCAGAAAGAAGATAGGAAGGTTAGGGCTTTTCGTTTAAGTAAATATTTATTTCAAATCCTGTATCCTGTTGCTCAAACTACTTTTAAAACAAATAATAATTTAAAGGTATAATAATCTCATTTGCTTTGTCAAAATATATGGACTGATGAAAAATTATTTTGAGCTATATAACAAACCCAATGCCATGACAAAGCTAGTGAAGAAATTACTTGACCTACCCAAGTTTATACTTTCTAGTTAACAAACCTCTAAGCCTAACTAAATCTTCTAAACCATACATTAACTTACACTTTAACCTAAACAGGTTCTTCTAATGTAGATTAATTAGACACGAACAATTTGTGTCAATATAACAATGTAAGTAAAGCTTTAATAATAACTTTACAGAATACACAAGTATACGTTTCGGCACATGCCTTCATCAGTACAACAAAAAGACAATTAATGTCTTGGGTTCCCTATCAATGGATCTCAACTCACCTTGACACTACCTCCAGCCTATCCGTAAGAAATGTTAAGAGCAGCACCACTTCATTGATTAGGTTCTCCCTGGACACGCTCCTGTCTGTTTCATAAAGAAACCGAATGTGTCAATGTCTAATTATTATCTTTACTTTAACCAATCCCAATGTACCATTTCTTATTTCCCCACTACTCCTTTATACTTTTATTTCTCATTCTTTATAAGTAATAAGCTACCGTAATGTTATTTGCCTGAGTTAATTTAGAAATGTAAAAAATTAGATTAAGCCCTTAAACAGATGTTATGTTAAATTTTAAGTTTATTTTGCTTCTTATCATGAATCTAAAATTGAAAGAAAATTAAAAAATTGAACATAGCTATATTTAAAAAAAAATTTTTATATACAACAGTCTATTTATAATTATTCTAAACTTGTGGTTATTTTTATAAAGAATAGGTCATGTTTCAATCATGCTCAAGATACAAAAAAAAGCAAATAAATGATATCTACTCACTGTTAGATTTGAAATCAGCTAAAACGTCATCTCCAACATCCTCCTGATGATATGAAAGTACATATAAAATAAATTTGGTCCCACTTAATTGATACTAGATTTTTGAAGGAAAGTTCAAACTATTTTTGTACTGTTTCTATTTTGTTTGTGTATTTATATATTTAATATCTATTGTTTCAAACAGCATTCAATAAATGGCCATTCCATCTCATGCTTCCTGTTCTGGAGTTAAAAATAATGAGTAAAACACACAAATTATGCTAATGAGCAGAGAGCAGATATTGCTAGTGCCTCGGCTGATTACCACCATCTGGCACAGAATCCATTATCTCAACATAATGCTACACCAGGCTTAACAAGATCAATTAATACTGGGACCCTGTCTACAACCAAACACACTCCCTGTACAGTTATGGTAATGTCTAATTGCTATGAGAGTAAAGGTTTTTACTGGTAATTCTGATATGAATATTAAAAAAAAGAGCTGAAAAAGTAGTGTTATTTGTTGCCCATTAATTAAAAATGAAACTAAAGCCAAGGCAATAAAATAAAAGGTTTTAGTGAAAGCCATTGGTATAGAATATAGAAGAGTGAGCCTGCCAAGCACACATTCCCTTGTTTAATTCAATTTTAATGCAGCAGAAAGTAGAATTAATCAAAACCATTGAGACCAAAGTTGGCTGACTTATAATTAAACATAGTGCAAATGTACTTCATTAATTTTTTTTAAAAAATGATGAAACATATTTTTGAAGACACAATCAATTTTATTTAATTTGAATTTATCTTGTACATTTTAAAAAAAAAATTATTATTGATTTTTTTTTGAGGGAGAAGGGTTTGTTTAATTAACTAATAATACAAATGATACTAATACATGACCTATTTTAAAACTTAGAGCTAAATGTATTCAGAGACAAAATACCAACAGGACCACCAACAACTAAATCACTACTTGAACTTTGTAAATAGCTTATGGGTATTCAATTAAAATGTTAAACTTTCAGAAAATCTTACACAATTTAAAAAAAAAAAAAAGTTTTGTACGTTCTAGCAACTGTAGTGTAACTGGTAAGTATAACTGGTAAGACTGCAGCTATTTTTGAGTAGACAATTCCCAAGCCTAATTTGGCCATAATCTTCTGACTTCAGGGTGTACCTCTCCCAAGATGAGCTACTTTACTTGAGAAGCTCATTACATGCAACTTTTTGCCTATACTATAGTGGGATGCTTTGAAACCCATAGCCTCTTGGCCATGACCCATAGCCTCTTGGCCATGACCCATAGCCTCTTGGCCATGACCCATAGCCTCTTGGTCATGACCCATAGCCTACTGGTTACCCAATAGCCTCCTGGTCCACACCTATAGCCTCTTGGTCACCCAATAGCCCCTTGGTCATCAGACAATTACTTTTACAGGATAGACAGGGACATGTTTTATCTATAGAGATCTGCTCTAAACATAGCCCTATGGATGTCCAGGGGATACAGAATGTACAAATCGTTTCGTAGTCGAAGTGCTGTACTTACATAGCTTTTTCCAACTGAACCATCACAAAGAAAAGTATGAGTTGGCAGTCCATCAGTTATAGTGTCTCTGACATTTTATGTGAGACAATAAGTTACACATGGGGCTTGGGCAGACTGTTGTCAAAGCCGTCGGTTTGTCACTCAGCGGGCTTTATTTAAAATGAAAGGAGAGGGTACCTAACAATAGGCTCACAAGACTTAAGAACCAAGCACAATCCTACCGCCGCTTCCTCCAGCTCCACCAGCCCACCAACAAACTTGTTGATCATGGTGATGAATGCCGCCTGCACCGCCCCTTGTACCATGACACAGTTCTGGTAGCTACCCATATACACCTGTAAGCACCAACAGAGGGTAAACATACAAGGGGAGGAAGGAATCAATGACCAGGGGAACAGAAACCAAATAACTTAACTTTAAGAGCAGTTTGGCATGGAGTAAGAGAGGTTGGGGTTCACCAGGAGTGGGGCTTATGGGGTTGATTTTAACCAGGGTCTTCAAACATTATGAAGGGTGAAACTAAAGATATATTTGTAAGCTTTCTGACAAGATTAAAAACCACCTAAGCATGTTTTATGTTGAAAAAAATGCATTGTAGCTGTTTACATATGAAAAACATAAAAAGGTTTTTGATGAGGCTACACATTGAAGAGCCTTTTCTTCACAGAATTTGTGAGAATCATGAAACTGGTTCTTATCTGAAATAGTTCTGATTCAAGTTTGCATAAAATTTATTGCAACTTCCAACACTTCCTGTTATTATGTATGGTTAATGAATGAACTGAGCAATCTGCATGATTTTTTAAACCTATTGCAGGCAATGCATCTTTACAAAATGTAATATGAAGTTGAAGATGTTATTAGCCACAAAATCCTAATGATTAAGTTATACAGGAACAAGATCTGTTTATTAAATGGTAGGCTAGAAAAACAAAAATAAATGTTCTCTCTTATTGGAAACATTAGAGCACGTTTCCAAGAGCACCACAAAATTAATTGGAGATAAAAGAAAAAGGAGTGGGGAGATGAATGCAAATAAAACTTTTCATGGAAAAAATACATACAAATATATATATTTATTTTTACTTGTTATTTTAACATATTTTTTAAAAAGTTCTTAAAAGTTTAAACATTTTTTTTTAAATAGCCTAAAAACTTAGAAACATGTTAGATTTATCTGAGCTGAAGTCAGTACCAATTATTGATTATGTTATATAGCATATCTTTGTCATGATTAAAGATTCAAACATGCAGAGTTAAGATTATACTCCAGTATCACTGTTAAAAAATAAATCACCAACACCTCATATAGAAGGAATTTTTGTTAGAAATCAAGCAATAACTTTAGAGATTTTTTGGAACCTAACTGGGGGGCTTATTAACCTAATAATATACATTGCTGTTATTTATTTCATAAATGTATTTTATTTTAATGTCATGATTATGTCTCTTTTGATAAAATGTTTATGTACAGCGCGGTGAGCCCAGCCCTAGGCTGGGGTACCTCGCTATATAAGACCTCTTATTATTATTACTATCATTAATACAGTATTTTTTATTTCATAAATGTATTTTATTTTAATGTCATGATTATGTCTCTTTTGATAAAATGTTTATGTACAGCGCGGTGAGCCCAGCCCTAGGCTGGAGTACCTCGCTATATAAGACCTCTTATTATTATTACTATCATTAATACAGTATTTTTTATTTCATAAATGTATTTTATTTTAATGTCATGATTATGTCTCTTTTGATAAAATGTTTATGTACAGCGCGGTGAGCCCAGCCCTAGGCTGGAGTACCACGCTATATAAGACCTCTTATTATTATTACTATCATTAATACAGTATTTTTTATTTCAAATTTCTTAGTTTTTAATTTAGATGTTAGTGAAGATAATTGAACTAATTCTTTGAAGTACTAAGTTTATGTTGTACAGGCTGTTACAGATTAAGTAAACTTAATACAATTCTAACTACTGGGTACTAAAATTTTCATCTAGCTATGTACAGGAAATAATAAAAACAAGTTCCTCAACATAAAGTTCATCCAGGATTCTGGTATTTTTGGAACCCATGTAACCTAAATTAAGAATCGATGTGCTCAACACAATAAATAATGGTTACCTATATATTAATTCATTGTTTTTTAAATTGGTAATAAAAATAAAATATAATAATGATTTGAAAGTCTACATTTTTAAAAAAAACATAATACGTAAGATGTATGCTATAAGGAAGCCTTTAATAATCAACAAGAAATAGTTGACTCTCCCAAAAATAATAACCTTCTTTCTTAAAACAAGCCAAATGAAAGGGAAATTTGTTAAAACCTCAAAAAAAAAAGAACAGGAGATTTTATCAAAATTGTTTACGTTGTCTGTCAGAAAGATTAGCATCAGGAACTTTTCAACATCAGGGTCTATGTTCTGATTGCCCTGAGAGAAAAGAGCCAAACTGGCCAAAAAGCAGGCCCTGGCATGATCTCTCGAGTTTGGCTTTCTTTTTGAATGGATGTTTGCAACTGTCTGCAATTAATATACAAGAACTTTAACAAAAGTTGGATTTTAATTTTGAGTAATTTCCATACAAAAACCATCAATTATATTTTTTAGTATTATAATTTTTTTGGGGTTGTTTCTTTACTTTATTTTGAGAAGGTTTGAGAATTATTGTTGATAAAGCTATGTGATGCTGAAAATTTGAAAAGATTTCTAGTTCATTGCAAACTACTTACATATGAATCAATAAACATGGTTACAGCCTGTTTAATCCCCACACAGGTGTCTTTAACTTTACTAAAATATCCAGATAATTTGTTCATGTCTGATGAAAGAATTCCTAAAGCTAGCCTTTCATTATGCTATGGTTCAACTAAACCATAATTGCTGATGAATGGTTTGTGTAGAGATATAGATAGCACAAGGAGTCATTAATTTTTAAAGACCATGGCTCCATCATGTCAATGACATTTAAACTAAAATAAAAATGCTCCTATGAAGAAAAATTTCTGTCAGCACTAATCACAAATGGTGTAACAACTAAGTAAGATGTATCCCCGCTTGATGTCTTTATCAAACTGCATACAGAGTAATTTTGTAAATTGCTACCGTGGTCTATTTTTAGCCTTGATAATGTTGCGCTGTGACAAGTTAATTACATGTATATTTGGTCTCATTTATATCTGCTCTACCCCATAAACAATGTTCAAATGACAACAGCTGTCTGACTTATCAGGCTAATGGTATAGGTCAGTGCTGCAGGTAACAGGTGGTCAGTAGGGAATAGTAACATTGTTAGAGGGAGGAGAGGGGAGGCTACCAGTCCAAAGCTGAAGTTAGATGAACAGCATTGACAGTGCAAACAATTTAGTCTTAAATCACACATGGGTAAGTCAACTCCCAAAAAATACTTAATAATGGTTTAATAATTATTTTTATCTAATATTGAATCAGTTATATTTCATTCTTGCCAATCTGTATTTTATCTAATGCTGAATCAGCTATATTTAATATTTTGTCAATTTTTATTTCTACTGTATTCATGTTAACACATTAAATAACCACAAAAAAAACTGTCAAATTAATTCTGAAAATAAATTTGTAAAGTGTTTAAGTTGACTGAATTATTTCCTTTTTCTTGTTACATCAACATTTAATTCTACAGTTTAGTCAACCATTCTTATCAGGGATGGAATTGAGTAGGACAGAAAAGAAAGATGGGAATAGTCAAAGAAAAAATGGTAAATTATGCCTCATTAGTAATGTTATGTGAGAGGTCTCACCTATTATAGTGTTGTATATCACCTTAGGAAACTGTTAATAAAACTTAGGATTTCTTTTTTTTTTGTTTATGCAGTGAGGAGCCTGTAGTTAATTGCTAAGTAATCTCTACCCATGCAACAGACTGCTTTTTACTAGTAAAATATTAGTGTCCTGACATTTCATATATAAGCTCTTTAGTAGACTGTTAGTACCTAAATGGATATGGGAGAAAAAAATCTTTTGAAATAACCATTGATCACCTTTCAGTTCATCATAGCATTGTATTTGCACTCTGTTCAAAGAAATGTATTTAAAAAATTTGAAACTTATTTGGTCTATGTGCTGTAAAACACAGGCAACTATAATAATATTAATATATTATGGTTCAAACAGCATGCAAATTTATGCAGTCGTGTTAGTTTCTCATCGGCCAATACTCACAAAATCTTGTCATAGTCTGTTCAGTAAGAAGAGATTTACAGAAAAATAATCTCTGCAATTACCTGAATGAATCTGCCCTTTTACCCCAATTTATTTTCTAAAATGTGTGCTTGTTCTCAGTTGGTATAAAGGTTAATTTCTATTTTTTTTTATTTTAAGTATTAAATTGACCCCACTTTACCAATCAAACTGTGAGCTGCACTAGGACCATATGATGGGAACCAAGCTGTTATTCAATCACAGGGGAAATACTGCCATTTAAAAACAATGCTTAGGAAAAAATATAAACAAAAAAATGTATATTTTAATTAAATCCAATGCATTTTCTTCTACTTTCAAAATTATTTATAGCAAATGCCTATACCGGGTATTGACTTCTTAAAACTTTGAGATTAATACCTTGAACTTTTCTCCCAGTAAATCCACCTTTGTTCAATGTTTGGTAAAAAAAATAACACCTTGAGATTTAATTTAAATAAAATAGTTTTTAAAAAAATAAGATTGTATTAACTTAAAAAAAAAGCTATAGTTACTTCTGAATATATAGAAGATTAATTAAAAATCTATAAAAATAAGATTTCATGCAGCATAGTTAGCTCGCTACCGATACATAATTTTTTTTCAATGGCTCTTATTTTGATGTGCTTCAAAACATAGCAGAATGTTTAACATGGAAATCTGTTGCAAGAGAATTCGGCTAAACTCCCAGTGGTACAGGGAACAAAATAGCATAACAAAAGATCGATGGTGATTTCATAATGGATTTAGATTAAAATAATAAAGCCTTAAAATATGAGCTACATATTTATACAAAATAGGATGAGTTGATTGCAATGAATTAAATTTTTATACACCTTGTGATTCTTCAAAAAATGTATTTCTCAAGACTAATTTTACTTACTTATGGTAAAAGGTATAAAAAAATTACTAAGAGTCCTTAAAATGTGATTAAGCTTTTCCCCTGCGTTATAATGAAACTATTTCTGTATGAGCTCACCTGTGCAATTTTGATGATTGTTTTTGCACTGGTACACCAGGAGGCTGTGACCGTCATGTTCAGTAAAAGCTGTATGAACAATTTTCTATTACTATTCATTGCACAAATGATATTTGCCGATTCCATAATGTCTATAAGATCGCTTAATTTGCCATAGATGTAATTATAAATCCTTAAGTGACAATAAAAACTTTTCTGTAGTCTTTATAAAATTTAATAAATACTAAATATTTTAACTCTGAAAATTATAACATTAAAAATGAAAATACATTTTGTCTTTTTTAATCTTTTTTATCAAGTTATAAATGAATTAATCTTTATTTGACGAACCTTCATAACTTCTATCTGTAAATCTTCCGCCAGAGAGTGAGCACCAGCTAAAACAGTGAGGACCTGTGAAGGTAGCCATTTGTCCTCATCACTCGTCTCCATGGAACTTCGAAATCTTTCATCTTTAAACATGGTCTGAAAACAGATAATAGATATTAATAGATATTAAAAAAGTAGAAAGCTTTCTTGATTTTTATAACACTTATATGACAAATTCATCCAGATACATCAAATAATTGAGATGAAGTGTAAACATTTTTAATAACAAACACTAGAAATGGCCCTAAGAAATTACACCTCAAAATAGTGGAAAGAGAAGTAATATCTGGATATTGGTATGTATGACATTTTTTTGCATTATTTTTATATTAAATGTTTTGGAGTTTAATTTTAGATGTACAAATTATATTATAATATTTAATGAAAAATTCTAAAGCTAACAGAGATTTTTTTTTTAATTTTAAAAATGGGAATCAAAACTGAGCTCATGCCAGCGGCAGAAAATATTATATCAACATACAACAATGTCTTTTGATAAGTTTAATGAGTAATTAAACTATATATGGTACATTGTTTTCCTGGCTCAATAAAATTAGATCACTGTGTTGGATAATATGGTACTTAATATGGAATTTACTTTGCAAACATTGGAAATCATATTATGAGTTTAGTATCTTGCAAATTTATCTGAAGAATTAATAACTGATTCCAAGTTAATAAAGTCCTAACACTTTCTCAAATAATTTTATCAAAGCCATACTTCTTATAATTATAATCTAAAGCAACATTTATTCACACAGTACACAATTTTTTTTTATTTGTTACATTTTAACTCTAAAGCACCATGTACAAATTATTGTATTTGGTTGCCAGATAGATGACCTTTGGGTGTCACAAAAATATGAATAACTTTTAACCTGAATTCCTGCAAGTGCTGTGTGACCTAATTTTCTTGCTCTTGACTCTAGTGCTAGCTGTAGAGGTTGTAGACATATCTCTCTCAGTTCCCATGCCTCAATAACTTGAATTTTGTCCTCATCAGATAGAATTTCTAAAATGAAAGGGTACATGAATTGATGAGAATTTTATACAATGAACAGTTTATTTTATTTGGTGCACCGTAATTTATATTTATTTCCTTTTTAAATTATATTTAAAAGTTTTAATCAAAATATAATTAACGAGCCTTACCCAAAGCAACATTAGCTGTATGTTTTATGCTTGCAAATTTTGGTGTAATAATATCTCTGGCCAACTGACGTAAAATATCTTCCATTTTAGAACCATAAGCCATTTTTAGAATATGTTTTTATATTTATATGTCGTAACTCATCAAGGAGATGGAACACAAAATTTGACCTGTACTTTTCTGTGTTTTGTGTAGTTCAGCATTGGCTTAATCTGTAACAGTAAGAACTTGGTGACATTTTTTATTTTTATTAATTTTACGTTTTTTTAAAGAAAAAAGCCAATATAATGATCTATAAATCTGCCTAAAAAAAATCTTAAAAGTTAGAGTGTAAGGAAGATGAATTTCCATAAGCACTAATCACAAATGGTCTAACGAATAAGTAAGATGTTTCCCCGTAGTACTTTGGTGACCCCTGGTTTAGAGAAACATAGAGCAGGACCAACATGGAGCACGACAAGACAGCATAAAAACATGTGATGTCACTACATAACAAACAATGTGCAAAACAATATGTAATCAACATTTAGTATTTTGTAATTTTCCAACATTCCTCAAAACACTAAATAAAATTAATTCATTGGTTTTACACAAATCATGTCAGTATCTTGAATCTTTACAGTCCCTTAGTAAGGAATTCAGCTATCATTTCTTCTGTTCTACAATATTTGAGAGTCAGTTTTATTTTCCACTTGTTCCCTGACAAAATGGTATTTTATATCCACATGTTTTGCTTTACCATGGAACTTTGGATGATTAGCCAAAGCGATAGCTGATTGATTGTCCTCAAATGTAACAGTGGCACCATTTTGGTTACATCCCAAATCAGATGCAAGTTGCCTCAGCCAAAGCACCTCCTGTGCTGCACTTGCTAGCGCCATATATTCAGCTTCTGCTGTCGACAATGCCACGCATGATTGTTTCTTACTTCTCCAACTTATAGGTCTACTACTCATAAGAAACACATAGCCAGATGTCGATTTCGATCATCAATGTCACCTGCCCAATCCACATCACAAAAGCCAACACATTCAGTAGATCCACGGTTGTGATACACAATTCCATAAGTCGACGTACCCTTTAGGTATCTTAGAATTTGTTTTACCGCCATTCAGTGTTGGTCTGATGGATGAGCACAAAATTTTGCTTCATTACCCACAGGGTAAGTAATGTCAGGTCTGGTCCAAATTGATAGATACAGTAGACTACCCACCGCTGATTGGTAAAGTCCCTGGTCAAAATAATGACCGTCTTCTTTTCTCAACTTCACACCTGAATCAGTTGGAGTCAATACAGGTTTAGAATCTAGCATTCCAAATATCTCAAGAACTTTGCATGTATAACCTGTTTGTCCTAGCCAGATACCATCTTGCTTTTGAGAGAGCATTACACCCAAAAAAGATTTCAATTCACCAAGATCTTTTACGTCAAATTTTGATGACTTGGCCTTCTTGACACTTGCTAGAATTCTTGTGTTCCTAGCTGCTAATAAGATGTCATTGACATAGACTGCAATAAGGACCATCTCTCTTTCTGTAGTTGTATACCTACATGGCTCACTTGATGACTGGTTGAACCCAAGATCTTTCAGACGACCGTCAAGGGCAGTGTTCCACCATCGAGGAGACTGTTTTCTGGTAGTGTTCGTGCTGCATCCATGTACTGGCATCTGTGCAAGGGTTGGGGGTATGATGTTGCTATTCTAACAGCTCCTAGCTGATGCCAGGGTAGCTTTGAAGCTTTCGACCAATGCCGAGGTCACAGTGGCATTGTCCAGGTGGTTCCATGCTATTATTGTGCGTGAGAAGAAAGATTGTTTATACTGCACTGTGTTGCACTTTGAAGAATTTGCTTTGTTTCGGGTGTAATTGTTTATGGGATTTTCAGTGGTGAAGTCAGTGTTCAGTGAGTGTTTTGCTCTGATCAGTCTACCCGGCTTCTGTGGGGTGAGGTACGTGCCTGCTGGGATGGCCGGCACCAGTCCCTTGATCACTTTATATAAGAATATCAGTTGGACTCCCTCTCGTCTGTCTTTAAGGGGGGGGGGATGTCAAATCTTTTTAAGAGGCCAGTGACGAAGACAGAAGTGGTGGATTTGTAGTCTTGAGCGATAAAATGCACCGCGTTACGTTGAATTCGCTCCAACTTGTCCATGTCTTGCTTAAGGTGTGGGTCCCAGATGATCGCACCATATTCTAGTAGTGGACGGACGAGTGCGAGATAGGCATTTCGTTTGCAGGAAGTTGGGCACTGGCGCAGATTTCTTCGGATGAAACCTAGGGTGGAGTTGGCTTTTTTTTAAATTTTGCTTATATGGGGTGACCATTTTAGGTTATTTGAGAAGAGAATTCCAAGGTATGGATTATTTGATACTTGTTGGAGAATTGTCTCGTTTTAGTCCATATACACTTTTCTTTAATTTACATGCAAGGTTTTCCTTTTCTTGTTCAACAAACCCTTCTGGTTGTTTCATGAATACCTTTTATTCTAAAACTCCATTTAGAAAGGCTGTCATCACATCCGTCTGATGCAACCGTAGATTGTATTTTGCAGCCATAGCAATGACTATTTTCATCGCTTGAATGAGAGTCTCTCTTAGCCTTAGTCTCAGTTTGATGTGCATTTTACTGTTTGTAAATCGGTTTACTTGATACTTACCTTTTTATATCAGGACAATATCTTTTAATGTGTTTGTTTCTATTACAATGATAACATTGGGTTCCTTTCTTTGTTTTCTTCTCTTTTGACACAAGTGCTCTACTTGGTACTTCTTCACTTCGTTGATATAACTTTCTCTTCATGAAGCAATCGTTCAGTTACAAATTTCATCTTTGGAACTTCTGAGCAAGCCTCAAGATCAGTCTCTCCTCTTATTACAACTTCATTTTTAGTTTGACAATACCACGGTCATGTGCTATCAGATTCAGTCCATCTCCAATTCCTATATTTAGAGGCTCTTCCAAGTTTGACAACTGGACAAATTCAGATTTCCTGCAACACATGACTTGCTGCTCCTGAATCAACAATCCAAGTCATGCCACCATTGACTGTAGTTAAAGCATTCCAACGCCTCATTAACAGTTACCAACATATTGTAGGAGTTGGGAAGGCTAGCAAGTAGGTGAACCACTCTGTCTTGTTTTTCAACGGCATCTCCTACCACAGCAAGCTCATTGAAAATCTCTATTTGAGTTTTAATGTGGTCATGCACAGAATCCCCATCATTCACTCTAATTGTAAGTAATCTGCTTCTCAGTGCCAGTCTGCTAGCCCATGTCTTCTTTTGAAACTGATCCCTTAGTTTTTCCAAGACAATCTTAGGTTCAACTGGATTGCCGATTAAATACAATAGTGAAGTGTCCAACGCCAACCCAATGAAAGCCAAAGCCCTATCTCTTCTAATAGTAAATTTAGCAACCTTCTCAGAGTCTGCCTCATCAGGTGCAACTTTAGACCCAGTAACAATCCCCCAGAGTCCATCCTTCATCAAGGCCACCTGGCATTGAATTTTCCAGGTCAAATAATTTGCACCAACAAGAGGAATGATGCGTGTGTTCATGTTTGTCATTCTGGTAATTCTATGAACACCAATCCCGAATACAAACCACAAACAAATCAAATCAACAACCACTTAACACAGGATAAAGCTACCTGGGCCCATAACCTGTTGAAAATATCAAATTGCTAAGTTACTTAACAAGGAAGGTAATCAAATAAGCAGAGGCAACCATCAAGGTTAGTTCAACGTTTTGTTTGTTTAGAACAACATGGAGCACGACCAACATGAAGCACAACAAGACAGCATAAAAACATGACGTCATTACACAACAAACAATGTGGCATGCAAAACAATGTGTAATCAACATTTAGTATTTTGTAATTTTCCAACAGAGTGACCTAGGCCTAGAGGCATACAATAAAGTTGCTACATTTGCCATAAAATTAATGTACTGCCTGAAATTACGTAAGGAAAGGGAGATGACCATTACGTAGTTGAAACAACACATACTCATACTCTCCCCATTTTAGCAGACATGTTTTTGCACTAATTTTTTTGTTTACACAACCAAGGCAACTTTGTTGCTATGACAAAGATTGCGGCCATGGGAAAAAAATTACAAAAACACAGTAGAATGGGCAGAAATGTCAAGCATACAATTACCAAAGTAATAATTCATTACCAGTTGCAGGTGTCTTAGACTTAGATTTGTAGTAAAAGTATTAAAGACTAATACTAACTAAGTGATGGTTACCCAAAGTCCTAAGTAACAACAGCAAAGAAAGCAATTTGCACCATGACATCATTTACGTGTTTATTTAACTTCATACGTTTAAGTTTAGGGTTTCGTTTAGGTTTAGACTTATTAGTTTAGGGATAGGTTGAATAGTTTAGGGTTAGGTTTAACGGTTTAAAGTTAGGGATAGTTTTAAGTTTAAGGTTCAGTGTTAGGTTTATTATTAGGCTTAGGGATAGGTTTATTATTTAGATTGACCTTTCGATACTTTCATGGGTCGTGACAACAAAGATAGTGGCTGTGGTGGGGATTGTCTAAATTTACCACAACAGTGACAACAGCTATACTATTGGCAAAGCTATTGTGGTTATATATATTATTAAGTTAATTAAATTAAGTCTAAGTACTCTAAGTTTGTCTAAGTAAGTCTTGTTGAAGTTGTTGCATACTACATAATAGGCCTAATAATACTCATACTGAACTGAGATACTTTACTACTACATTTCATAATGATATTTCATACGTTTCTCAGTCACTGAGTTGATCAGTCAACGAGACTGACTGATGTTCATTTGCATGACTTGGCCTATGCCTATTGAATTCAAGAGCGAGGTAGCGATTCGGGAAATAATTTTAGCTTAAGCACAGAACTGAATGGGGATATTAAATGAAATAATAGTAATGTAATTGCCTAAAGTTAAAAGATGTTTCCATTATGTTGAAGGGGGTAATCCTTTTTACCGACATCGGGAGATAAATCGAGATCCATCCCAGATAGCTATTTTTTTAATTTAAAAAGGTAGTTAAGTTTCCATTTGTTAACTTTAGTTTTAGCCATTATATCATTAAAAACATTAAAAATAGTGGGGACTGAATTTTATTCTGGCGTCGACACCCTGTCATGTAGTTGATGGCTCGGATTAGCTTATTTATTGAGCAAGATATCATAATCATATTAATTAGTATTATGTCATTATGATTATGTACTATAATGTACCTGAGGCCGAAGCGCACACAGAACATATGACACCCATGGCGGCCACGGCAAGAAACGAAATTTCGCCCCTGCCCAATTAAGCTTGAGAAAAATATTATTTTTGTATAACTATGATTTAAATAACAAAATTAAAAACAGAGTAGGCTTACAATACATAACTTCAAATATATACACAATAGACCCTTGACGAGACCACAAATGGGGTCATGGGAAGGTTTCTCTTTTTTAATCTGTCGTTAATTATTATTTTTTTAATTTTAATTTCATGATACTGCATCTACTTCTGATGCGTTTACCACAAATGTATTTTCTAAGCAGTTGTAATCGGAGTCTTGCATTTGTTAACCTTGGGATTGTGAAAGGCAAGCCACCTCAGGCGACAATTTTGTGTTTTATATTTATATAGCATATAAATATAAAAGCTGGGAGTATTTGTATTGGGGGAGGGGGCTTACTTTTGAGAGCTGGCCTCAAGTGGCATCTAGTCAAGTAAGCCACTTGCCCCTGGAGTAGTGGGTCACTTTTATAAAATGGTAAGGAACCTGTGATAAAGCTAGGCTACTTTACGAGTAGTATGATATTTGAATACAACATATACTACATCAGTATTAATTATTACCTGCTGCATTGTTTCGTTCTACGATGGACCCCCCATAAATGCCCATATTATTTCAAATTACTTGTCATACATTGCCATATTATATAAAGCAGAAGTCTTAGTAGTATAGTGGTATATAAAGGCAACAAATAAGCAGATTGTTGTGAAGCGTTTCATTTTATTTGTACCGTTAAAGCAACAACAAAAACAAAAAAACAATTTTAAAGATGAAATATTTATTTTTAAACTTATGAAAATTCTCTTTCAGACTTGAACACTTATTAACGAATTCTGCCCCCAACGGCACGGCTATCCACCCCTTATATATATATATATATTTATTTATTTATTTAAATGGCGATGTTTTTCTACACATTTTCTTCTTTTTTCTTCTAGACTTATTTTAAATTCATCTTCTATACTGAGGCATATCAATAGTTTTATAGAAGGAATACGGCTGCCATTTCAATATTTTTGCCCAATTCCGCAATTCCAAATTAATTACAATAAATATAATAAATTCTGATCTCGGTAAATTTTTACCACAATAATAAGACGAATCTATAGCCCCAAATTCGATTAACTTCATAATAATACTACCTCTACTGAATTAGATCTAATAAAAACAAAACAATTAGGCGTAACTACAAATAAATAGTACTTTGCCCCCGAAAAAACATAATTAACATATGGTAACTTTTCTCATGACTGACTTAACTGACTAAGATCTTAATCATCCATCACTACTAAAGAAAGTAACTAATGATTATGATTAATTAATTTATTATAAATAATTAATTCTATTCATCATACTACTCATACTCGTAGTCATAGTCATAGTCATAGTTATGCATGTATAATTTTGTATAATTAATAATAATAATAATATTATATGGTTTAATAATTTCTTTGACTTTGTCCATTTGTTTAAAAATTAAATAATGATTCAAAATTGATTTTAATTCTTATTTGATGTGTTGTAGTAGGCCTAAGTCCTGACTAATTTAATAATTAATGTAAATTCTAAATTCCTTTGCCTTTACTTTAACTATTATTATTATTATAACTCTATAATAATAATTGTAAATAACATTAACATTAAATAACAATAGCTATTTACTATAGTTATTTGAGGATAAGCGGATAAGTATAGCTGGGGCTCTTAACCTTTTCAGAGGAGCACAACACCCATATTATTTAATACTTAGGTTTAGGACCTAGCCTTAATGAACTTAGTGCTGTACAATAATGAGTAGGGCCAATAAGCCTTTTGAGGCTATTATTATCATTAAAGGCATCTCCTATAACAATCACAGGTATAGTAGAAGTAGTAGATCCATATTTTTTGCATTTTCCTCTTTTTTTTTTTCCACTTGAAATGTATTTATTTGATAGATTTCAGCGTCCAATATAAAGTTATGGATGTATGTGAAAGTAAGGAAAAAATTGCTATTGTAGGAAGGTAAGCAAGTTTTTGCATTTTTAAAGTTTATTTGAGCAATTTGAAAACAAAAGAATCCAACAATGATTATGATTGTTCTTATCTTTAATCATTTTGTTTCACCCCCCTCAACGTGTTTTTTAAAATATGTGCTGTAGGTTTCACAAAAAACATATATGATTTTGCAGGATTAATTTATTAATGACTGTTAGTTCCCATTTAAAAATTGCAAACTTTTGTGTTAAAATATTATTTTTTAAAAATGTATCATCTACTGTAATGTTGTTTTTTTTACTTTACAGTGGCTTGATTGGTCAATTCTGGGCTATGATATTTTCCAGTGGTGGTCACAAGGTCACAATATATGACATTTATCCAGAGCAGGTGGGATACTGTTGCTATTGAATGTTTTTCATATTTTTTATATATATAAATATATTTATTAAATCCATACCTTCTTGTCAAGATAGATAATTGTTTCTCATACTGATGTCTAACCAAAAAAAACCCCCATTAACTTTGCTTTACAAGCCTTATATTATACAGCCAAAAAAAATTACAAATCTTCTTCCTTTAAAGGTTTCCAAAGCACTCCAGAATATTGCAGCAAATCTTGCACTTTATGAAAAACAAGGCTGCCTTCGTGGCCAGATAAATGCCGAACAACAGACCTGTCTGATTTCTGGAAGCAATGACTTACAAGAGTGTTTGAAGGGGGCAGTATATGTGCAGGTTTGCTTAAAAATCCTCAACTTTATTTTTAACTCTGGACCATCTTCTCCAATCTTAAACTTAAATGGATATGGTAAAGTTAAGTCTTTTTCTTTGCCTTTTTCAACTCCCATTAACAAAATCTTTTGATGCCTTCCGGTCTTTATCAATCTTCTCCAACTCTTTCCAATTTCAATTTTATTCTTGTCTACCTTTCTACACTAGGTTTCCCCATCCACTTGATATTTGAGTGTTCCAAACCAGAGCTTGCCTAGTTATATTTGGCATAAGGTTTTTAATCTTACATAACCTATCCAGCTCCATCTTCCTTTTCCTAATTTTTATGCTCCCCTGAGATATATGCTGTCATCTTCCTCACTGCTGAATTTAGGGATTCTGTGGACCCTCTTGATGTTAAGGATCTATACAGGCAACTCGTAAGTTTCCAAGTTTTTTCCAAAGTTAAATGGGAAAAAACTTCAAACTTTAAAGTTGACTGCTTGAGTGAAAAAACACCAAGGAATGTGTCTTCTTTATCTGATGCCTTGTTACCCCGTCTGGGGCATAGGCTATCCATAAAAATCCTCCATTCATCACAGTCCTGTGCTTTCATGTCTGCCTCTAGCTCATGTCTCCATGTATTCTTTGGCCTTCCTCTCTTTCTTTTTCCCTGGAATCCTCAGGGAAAAAGAAAAGAAATGTGTAGTAAAATATTTAGAAGTGTGATGTACAGGGCCACTTTAGAGTATACATGATACTTCTGAAAAAACACTGTATTACCTAGTGGGCCTATATTATAACAATGATATTATTTTTTTTTTAAATCCTTAGGAGTGTGTACCCGAATCTGCAGATCTGAAAAGAAAAGTGTTTGAACAGATGGACCCTTTCATCACAAGTGAGATGGTAGTGGCTACCTCAAGCAGTTGTATTGGAGTCTCACAATTTGTTGGGGGCATGGCTAATAAGCATCGCACTTTAGTAGCACATCCAGTAGGTTGAAAATAGAAATCACCATTTTTGTTTTTGGAGTAATAAATTTATCAATTAAGTATTCCACCTATGTTATTCCAATTGTAACTTCTTTGTCCTGGGTTATATTCCAATAGATACTTTAACATTTATATTTTTGTTGTGTTACATTTTTTTAGGTAAACCCACCCTACTTTGTTCCATTGGTTGAAATAGTGCCTGGTCCTTGGACCCTGCCAGAGGTGACAGCAAAGACACGGGCCTTGCTTGAGGCTGTTGGACAGTCACCTGTTACTCTTAGCAAGGAAGTTCCTGGATTTGCCCTGAACAGGATTCAGTATTCCATCATTAATGAGTGTTGGAATATGTACAAAGTAAGTGCTGGCCATTTATAATAATAATTTTTATAGATGATATAGTTACTGTAAATACAATATTGGGCTAGCAATGTTCAAATCCACACCAAAAAAAAAAAAAAAAAAAAAATTTCTAACAAACAAAACTAAAAAAAAAAAAAAAAAAAAAAAAAAAATATAGATGATATAGTTACTGTAAATACAATATTGGGCTAGCAATGTTCAAATCCACACCAAAAAAAAAAAAAAAATTTCTAACCATCTATGCTTAACTATGATTAACTGATAACAAACAATGCAAATACGGGAATTATTTTGGTCTCTGCTTCTTTCATTTTCAGATTTAAAATAGTTCTCGCACGTTGTTGCAGAGTAGGGAATTAAATTAAGATGAATACACAATAAACAAGAGGTTCTCAACACATTTAATAGCTATAAATTTGAAATGCATGCAATTGATGGGAATGGGGACATGTATCAATGATGAAAAGAATATTGTTTCATTCATACTTAATAATACTGTTTGATTATCTTTGTATCTAATATGGTTTATATCACAATATATTAGCTTTGTATTTTGTTTTTATAGGATGGACTTCTCAGTGCTGCAGACATTGACAAAGTGATGGTTGATGGCCTGGGACCAAGATATGCTTTTATTGGTCCTTTAGAAACAATGCATCTAAATGCTGATGGTCAGTTTTGAAACTTTTCATTTGAATTATATCTACTTCCGTTGGTCGGATGTAATACAACGCTCCTGACATTTAATTTTTTTTAAATTAATTTTTTTTTTTTTTTCAATATTAATAATATTATATATTGTAAATATTTCTTTGAACTGAAATTAATATACTTCCTAATATAGTTTTCATATTAATCATACACATTAAGGAGTGAAATTTTTATTATACTAATTAGAAAGATGACTCTAATATCAATATGGAAAAGCTCATCATTTTTGTCTAATGATTGTTGTTATTAAATTTAATTTTAGGTATTGTAGATTACTGTAAACGTTATGCACAAGGTGCGTACAGTGTGTGCTCAACATTCACTCCACCACCAATCATGTACGATGTTCCCACTGCTGAGAGAGTGCTAGAAGAAATGCAAGCCACGATCCCATTAGAGAAAGTTGCAGACAGACGCAAGTGGCGTGACCAACGGCTGGCTGCTCTGGCTGCTCTCAAGACTCAGCTCAAGGAAAAGTTAGACTGAATTAGATCACAGTGGTTCTTAACCTCTGTCGGCAACACTTTTCTTGGGGGTCTAAAAAATGTATTGACATAAACCACGATACCAGAAAACAAGGAAGTCATGGTAAAGTTAACAGACATTGTTGTCAAATAACCAGTATTATAACAAAAAATTGTAATTATTACATTGTTATGCTTTTATAATAGTTTATTTTAATGATTTATTTCAATGTGCTTTATATTATGCATTTAGTTTCTGTACTAATAATTTTTTGAAGATTCAGAGATTAAATGAAATAATTTTTCAAAATTAAATACCGTCCCCATAGTTTTATGTGTTCCAAATTTTTAGTATAAAAGCACCTGTTCCATTGGTCAAAGTATGTTAGTGAACCCTTTACATTGGTGGGACATTTGTTTAAAAGTCTGTTAATGTTTAAATCACCATCACTTTGTAATGCATATATTTTTTGATTGATAGAATTTATCTAAAATAAAAAGAAAACATTAATACTTTGTTCTGGTTAATTATATCCTGTTATGACTGTGATCTCAAGATAGACCCTAGATGTCTGTTCCACTGACATCTTCCCATTGACGCCTTCGCCTATACATCTTCCCCATAGACATCTTCCCCTTTGACATCTCCCATTGACACTTTCGCCTATACATCTTCCCCTTAGCCACCTCCCCATACATCTGCCCCTTTCACATCTCCACCTAGACATCGTCCCCTTAGACATCATACCTTGACATCTTCCCCTTAGACATTTTCACATATACATCTCCCCTTAGACATCTGCACATATCTTCTCTTCAGAAATTGCCCATGACATCTTCCCATAGACAGCTGCCCTTGACATCCTCACCTCGGACTCTGCCCATGATATCTCTCTTTAAACATGTCCTTAGTATTTGTAATTAAAATTTTTAACAAATATAATATTTTGTCTACAGTTCAGCCTTCTGCAGCCATCCAGTAATTGGTCTTGCGAGATTATTTTACAAAGATATTCATCTTGTGCTTATCTTATCTATTAATTTTGTCAACGAGTTGACATTCTCCTGTTTAGGATGTCTCAATGGCAGTATACATAATTACCTTACTTGCCTTGTACAACATTTACATATTTTGAAGGTCTGCAGGTAATACAGACCAAGAAGTTACAATTAAGTATGTCGAAGCTACAGAGTTAAGTGGTTTCTATTAATATCACCATTGGAGTTCTCATGTGTTTGTCATTGAGAACCAGAATGTCCAGTAACCAGTTGTCATCCATTCTTCCCAAGAACAAACAATGGAAAGTCAGTAGTAACTTGTTTTAGTGTATTCTAGATTTTCACACTCTCAACTGAGACCCAAAATAATACAGATGGTGTTGTGAACTAGACTGTTGTGAATGTTGGGTAGGGGGAGTTGTGGATCGTGAGTGTTTTGTAAGTTGTTGATGGTGAGAGTGTTTTGTAAGTTGTTGATCATGAGAGTGTTTTGTAAGTTGTTGATCGTGAGATCAGTGCGTGAAGGTAGTCCGTGGTGTGGAACGTTAGTGTAGGCTGAGTTCTTTTGTATGGTGATATAAAAGGGAAGTGTGTTAGCTAGAGGTCAGAGAAGAACGGTAGAAGAGTAAGAGAAGAATTGTTAGTCGTCAAAAGTTGTCAGTCAAGAGTTAGTCGAGTAGTTGTGCTAGGAGAGTGGATAGTTGGTAGTTGGACTGATGTGTGTTCCACGCGCCACAGTATATTGAATAGCAGTATCCTGTTTTGTAAAGTGTGCAATAAATTATTATATTGTTACACTGGACCTTGTGTTTTATGTTATAGAGAGAGAGATTCATACACCCTAGACAACGTAAGAAGGCCGAGCCATTTGATGAAGGTCTCAAGTTAGTATAATAAAGGTCGTAACAGATGGTGAAGACAGAATTCAGGAATAAAGTTTAGAGACTATTTTAATTTGTTTGCATTAAAATTGACAAAGTCCTATTACATGAAACATATAATAATATAGGAGACTTTAAGACCAGAAAATGAACCTGATAGTTTAGGGGGGGGGGGTTTGAACAGTTTTAAGGGTGCAATGATTTGGACATCAAGGGCTGTACAAAACTCATTCCTGTCAAATGTAGAACCAACTTCATCCATCCCTTTGGCGATACAGACGGTGTATGGCTGTGACCTGCCTCATCACTTCCTTCCATCCAGTGTTTCTT